TTCATTGTGTCTATTTGATTCTTCTCTCTTTTTTTCTGTATTAGTCTGGCTAGTGGTCTATCTATTTTGTTCATCTTTTCAAAAAACCAGCTCCTGGATTCACTGATTTTTTTGAAGGGCTTTTTTTTGTATCTCTGTCTCCTTCAGTTCTGCTCTGATCTTGTCCTCTGCTAGCTTTTGAATTTGTTTGCTCTTACTTCTCTAGTTCTTTTAATTGTGATATTAGGGTGTCAACTTTAGATTTTTCCTGCTCTCTTCTCTGGGCATTTGGTGCTATAAATTTCCCTTTAAACACTACTTTAGCTGTGCCCCAGAGATTCTGGTACATTGTGTCTTTGTTCTCATTGGTTTCAAATAACTTACTTATTTCTGCTTTAATTTCATTATTTACCGAGTAGTCATTCAGGAGTGGGTTGTTCAGTTTCCATGTAGTTGTACAGTTTTGAGTGAGTTTCTTAATTGTGAGTTCTAATTTGATTGCACTGTAGTCTGAGACACTGTTTGTTATGATTTCTGTTATTTTGCATTTGCAGAGGAGTGTTTTGCTTCCAATTATGTGGTCAATTTTAGAATAAGTGCGATGTGGTGCTGAGAAGAATGTATATTCTGTCAATTTGGGATGGAGAGTTCTGTAGATGTCTATTAGGTCTGCTTGGTCCAGAGCTGAGTTGAAGTCCTGAATATCCTTGTTAATTTTCTGTCTCATCGATTTGTCTAATATTGAAAGCAGACACATAGACCAGTGGAACAGATTAGAGAACCCAGTTATAAATTCATGCATTTATAACCAACTTATCTTTGACAGAAGCACCAAAAACTTACAATGGAAAAAGTGTAGTCTTTTCAATAAATGGTGCTGGGAAAACGGGATAACTATATGCAGAAGAATGAAACTAGACCCCCATCTCTCAATATACAAAAAAATCAAATAAAAATGGATTAAAGAGTTGACTTTAACACCTGAAACGATGAAACTACTGGAGAAAACATTGGGAAAATACTTTTGAGATGTTGGTTGGGGCAAAGATTTCTTGTGTAAGACCTCAGAAGCACAGGCAACCAAAGCAAAAATAGACAGCTGGGATTACTTCAAGCCAAAAAGCTTCTGTACAGCAGAGGAGACAATCAACAAAGTGAACAGACAATCCATAGAATGGGAGAAAATATACGTAAACTATTCATCTGACGAGGGATCAATAATAAGAATATATAAGGAGCTTAAGTAACTCAATAGTTAAAAAAATCAAATTTAGTAATGGGCAAAAAATTTGAACAGACATTTCTCAAAAGGAGACATACAAATTGTCAACAGGTATAAAAAATGTTCAATGAATCATCAGAGACATGCAAATCAATATCATAATGTGATTTCATCTCACCCCACTTAAAATGGCTTGAATCAAAGAGAAAGGCACTCACAGATGCTGGAAAGGATGTCAGAGAAAGGGGATCCTCATACACTGTTGGTGGAAATGTGAATTAGTACAGCCACTATGGAGAACAGTATGGAGGTTTGTCAAAAAACTAAAATAGAACTACCATGTGATCCAGCAATTCTACTTCTAGATACATATTCAAAAGACAGGAATTCAGTATATCAAAGAGATATCTATACTCTTACGTTTATTGCAGCACTATTCACAATACCCAAAATATAGAATCAACCTAAGTGCCCATCAATAGTTGAGTGAATAAAGATAATGTGCATATACACACACGATGGAATATTACTCAGCCCCCAAAGGACAAACTTCTGTTATTTGCAACAACATGGATAGAACTGGAGGCCATTATATTAAGTGAATTAACCAAGCACAGAAAGACACATAATAGCATGTTTTCATTCATATGTGGAAGCCAAAAAAAAGTGGATCTCATGAAGATAGAAAGTAGATTGGTGGTTACTAGAGGCTGGGAAGTAGGGGAAATGGGGAGGATGAAGGGAAGAAAAGAATATAAATATATTTGTTACCACCAAACTTTACACTTAAAAATGGTAAAGATGGTAAATTATATATGTATATTTTACCTCAATAAAAAAGACTTTTAGGGCCAGTGCATGGCTCACACCTGTTATCCCAGCACATTGGGAGGCTGAGGCAGGCAGATCACCTGAGGTCAGGAGTTTGAGACCAGCCTGGCCAACACAGTGAAACCCCGTCTCTACTAAAAATACAAAGATGAGCTGGGGATGGTGGTGGTTTCCTGTAGTCCCAGCTACTTGGGAGGCTGAGGCAGGAAAATTGCCTGAACTCAGGAGATGGAGGTTGTAGTGAGCCGAGATGGGCCACTACCCTCCAGTCTGGATGACAGAGTGAGACTCTGTCTTAAAAAAAAAAAAGTTTTTAAAAAGCTTACCTTTTTTTTTTTTTTTTTTTGAGACAGGGTCTTGCTGTGTCACCCAGGCTGGGGTTCAGTAGTGGCACCATCATAGCTCATTGCAGCCTCAAACTCCTGGACTGATGTGATCCTCCTGCCTCAGCCTCTCTAGTAGCTAGGACTACAGGAGTACCAAATCTGGCTAATTTTTAATCTTCTTTCGTAGAGATGGGGTCTCACTGTGTTGCCCAGGCTCCAAATTTGATGTCAGACATGAATGTACACATACGGGAAACTCAACACACTCCAAGTAGTATACACTCAAAGAGATGCATAAGACACATTATAACAGCAGCTATCATTTATTGAGCAGTTATTACTACTACTATTAATGCTACTGTTATTATTACACACTAACTCAGTGAAGTGGGACAGGTGTTGTTATCCCACATGCTTCAGTCGGGTAAGGGCAGGGCTGCCTTCGAGACATTGTGGTTAAATGGTAGAGCACTGTCCTTGGAGCAGGTCTGTACTCCTGCTCTGCCTTTCACTAGCTCTGTGATTGAGGCCAGTCACAGAACTTCTCCAAACTTCAATTTTCTAACTTACTTACTTACTACTTTATTTATTTATTTATTTATTTAGAGACAGAGTCTAGCTCTGTCGCCCAGGCTGGAGTGCAGTGGTGGAATCTTGGCTCACTGCAACCTCTGCCTCCCGGGTTCAGTTCTCCTTCCTCAGCCTCCCGAGTATCTGCGACTACAGGCGTGCGCCACCACACCTGGCTAATTTTAGTATTTTTCTCTCCAGACAGGCTTTCTCCATGTTGGCTAGGCTAGTCTCAACCTCCTGACCTTAAGTGATCCACCTGCCTTGGCCTCCCAAAGTGCTGGAATTACAGGCATGAGCCACCATGCTTGGCCTGAATTTTTTAACTTTTAAGAATGTGATCATAATCAGGAAACGTTCAGGGCAGTGCATTTTTGTGGACTTCACACGTGGCACATGCGAGAGCGCGTAGCAACATTAGCACATAGAAGGTGTTTCTGAATGCATAGCTTTGTGAGGGAATGATGCGATGAGGATGCACTGGCGTAGAGATCTTTGTTTTGTTCCAGAGCCCAGCACGATATCTGACCTGGTGCTCAATAAATATTTCTTGATAAATTAGCCTGAAGCAACAAGGGATAGCTATTACCTAGATCAGAAAAGTGCTGTTTTTATGAATTACACTGCAATAAAATTCCATATATATATATATATATATATATATGTACATTTTTTCTTCTGTTTTTGAGGAGAGAGGTTGGAATGTTAACAAAAGCAGGAACTTTTGGGATACAAAAATTAGGATCTTTCTTACGGTACTTTTCTAGCAACAGTAATGAAGCATAAGATAAATGCTTAGTAAATGAACATTTGTGGGCTTTTCCTCATCCCACAAAATTGCTCAGCCTTTTGGGGCGGGGACGCTTGTTCTTGCATCAGAGCTGATGTGAAGTCAACTTCGGGGGATGCATTTCAGAAGAGATTAGGAGCACGCTACTTCCCTGAGCTCCCAAATCAGTAGATGAATAATCTTAGGAAAATTAGTTGTTTAGTTTCTTCTGGTATTTTTGGATGCTCCAAAAGAATCATAACCAACCCGTCTCTTAGTCAGTTACTTAAGCAAGCATATATGACTAAGCAGATTGTGTATTTACATAGGACACGTATTATATTTCAGTTACAAACACCAGGGAGTGATAGATAACATCAAGGTATCCTAAGTGGAGAGGGAAGAGTAGAATTGGAATTCTTACAAGGTGCACAATTTTAGGAATCAGCAAAGAATTGGCATCCTGGAATTTAGCATGGTTATTAAAAGAAAACTTCGCTGCTTATTACAAGCTTATTCCTGGAAATACCATGTTTTCTTCCAGTTGCGCATTACATTATATGTATCATAAATAGGGAGTTGAGTTCAATCTCTCTCTCTTACTGCAAGCCCCTGTTGCAGTGGTCCCTATACACAAATATATATGTATAGAGGCAGGTGTTGTTATCCCACATCCTTCAGCCAGTTAAGGGCAGGGCTGACTCTGAGGCATTGTGGGGTAACAACACTGCCTATACACACAAACATATTTTTCCCATTTCTTTCTTTCTTTCTTTTTTTTTTTTTTTTTTTTTTTTTTATATAGAGTCTCACTTTGTTGCCTAGGCTGGAGTGCAGTGGCGCGATCTCGGCTTACTGCAACGTCTGCTGCCTGGGTCCGAGTGATTCATTTTCCTGCCTCAGCCTCCTGAGTAGCTGGGATGACAGGTGCCTGCCACCATGCCCAGCTAATTTTTGTATTTTTAGTAGAGACAGGGTTTCGCCATCTTGGCCAGGCTGGTCTTGAATTCCTGACCTCGTGATCCACCTGCCTTGGCCTCCCAAAGTGCTGGGATTATAGGCATCAGCCACTGTGCCTGCCCCGTTTTGCCCATTCCTTAATGGAAATTACTATTAGGGGGAAAATGACCAGTTTGCACTTGAGGGAAATGAAAATTGAGATAATTTTGCCCTGAAGTCTGGTCTTGAAAACACACACACACCATTTGATTGGTTCTTTAATACTCACACACAAATACATACAATTAGACAAAATCCCCGTGTTTTAACTTAACTCATTGAAGACTTATATTTGAATTGAACGCATTATTCTTGTTTAAAGTATAATTTATTTGTTGTGACAAAAATGCCTTTTTAGCATCTTTTTTTTTTTTTTTTTCTGTATTGGCTGCTCAGACATGCTTCATTCCTCTTCTCTTGCCCTTCAAAACCTACTGGTGTGGACAAATGGGAAGCTCAGAACTATTTTTTCTTTCTCCTTTCCTTCTTGAGTCACAGAAGTTCCCTGTAACCTGAGTAGGTTTGGTCAGAAATCTGAGATCATCTTGAAAGAAGGAAGGATCCTTCCCACAGAAACTCTGGGGATGCAGGGGAATAATTTGGCAATGAACAAAAGTTGAGATTGGCTGTGGAATTGGCTGCCAACTTGTTAAACTGATAGGGAGAACTCTAGGTGACTACATTCTGGCCAGATCTAAATGTTTACAAAAAGTGTAATATGTATCCTGAAAGATCCAGATGAACATCTGTGTGACCCAAGCCTGCCAATGAATGCCTCCAGGTCTTCATTTTGGTCTGAAGCAGAGGCAGTAGACTTGCACATTTGAGAATGTAAAGCCTTCATTTACACACATATCCCAGCACTGGCTTGGAACTGAATGTAAGAGAATGCAGTGGAGGCAGAAACAGTTTTCCTAGTTTCCCTTTAGAAGAGAAGTTTGCTGGTGAGAAAAGCAAGCAGGATATCAATGGCATCTGTGATGGGGCTGCTGAAGACTCGGTTGGCCAGGCTGTTGATTCCGATATTCTCAGGTATAATCACAGAGAAAGGCTTGAAGACTGAGCTCTGGAGAATCTTGGCAGGTAAGGGTACGATTGACACTGGAAAGACGATTGAGGGTATGGTTGGCATTGGAAAATGGCATCAGGACCTCTGTTGGGTGGTGGGTGTGCCCTCGAGAAAGGAGGGTAATCTGATGGAATGCTAGAGCCAGATTCACGAGCAGAATTCAATCAACCCTTCTCCCGTGCAAAGTGTTTTCAGAGGAGGGGAAAAGCTGGGGGACACAGAGGTTTAAGTAACAAAAGTAAGGAAGAAATGCTTTCTACCCTGAAGTCTGCATAGTTCTATGAGATGAGATGGAGATGTACTGAATTTATTCACCTGCTCCTCTTCTTGTTGGGGCGGGTAGTCTCCTCCTGAATGTATTCATGTCTTTAGTGCAAATATGATCCAGACTGGCACAATTTTATTTTCTTCTTGCTAATTTCAAGGGCTTGTAAAAACTAGATCCCATCCAGACTTGAGGATGGTCACCCCTGCTTTAAAGTTAGTAGAAAGGTGCCTGGCCCAAAGCTCCGACTCTCTTTCCGTGGTTTCAGAGGCACTGGTCAGTTTTATATGAAGGGACCTGATCGCACATTGGTTCCCTGAAGTTAATTTGCAGAGAAGCAGAGGAAGCCAAGCTCATCGTACTGAGGGCTTGTCTGATCCTGAACAAACTGGAGGTTGGTGGGAATACCTCCAAGACTCTGAGTGGGTCCTAGAAGGGTCTGTAAGGAAGAGAAAGAGACCGGGAGTCTATAATCCCAGCACTGTGGGAAGCTGAGGCGGGTGGATCACTTGAGGTCAGGAGTTTGAGACCAGCCTTGCCAGTGAAACCCCATCTCTACTAAAAATACAAAAATTAGCCCAGTGTGGTGGCAGGCACCTGTAATTCCAGCTACTTGGGAGGCTGAGGCAGGAGAATCACCTGAACCCACGAGGTGGAGGTTGCAGTGAGCCGAGATTGAGTCACTGCACTCCAGTCTGGGTGACAGAACGAGACTCTGTCTCAAAAAAAAGAAGGAAGAGAATGATGAATAACTCTTCCTCTCACCTGGAGGGCACCTTCCAGTATGATAGCATTGTCTAATCTTATTTAGCATTTCCCCAGGGCCTGGAGTCCTGACTAGAAACAAACTTTTTTTTTTTTTTTTTTTTTTTTTTTTTTTTTCCTTTTTGGCATTTATGGCAGGGAAGCAGGAGCCTAGGAGAGTCAGAGTGACACCATTTAAAAGTCAACTACATCTTGAAAGTCGCAAGCACACTCCTCGCCAGTCACAGCCTATGATCCTGAGATGTTTATGGTTCAGGAAACAGACTGAAGATACCAACAAGGACACACTCCTAGAACAGTGGGAAGTCCAGATGTCCCAATACCCTTAACAATATATGCTTTCAAGATAATTACGCTTTGATAGACTTACATGCTAAAATGTCAGGGATAGTTTTCTTTACATCAATAAAATAATAAATTTTGTCATGCTATCAGCCCACCCACACATAGGCACAGATTAATTCAGTCTTTACGTAGACAAGGTCCTACACAAGAAAAACTTAAAGACAGTGTTTCTTCTGCCTGCTTTCTGAGAGCACCCTCTAGAAATGGAGTAGCTTTCAATAAACTATCTCTTCACTACACTCTGCCACTCACCTTGAATGCCTTCCTGTGTGAGATCTAAGAACCCTCTATTAGGGTCTGGATCAAGACCCCCTTTTCCCAGTAACATTTACATAAGGGTTCATCTTGACAATGGCCTTGAGGAAGAAACGACTATCTGTTTTCTTGCAGAGGGAAAGCCACCAAGGAAAGAGTTAAGACATTCATGTAATAGTTTCATTAGGCATAATCACTTTACCATTTGTTATTGAATATAATTCTCCCCTTTGAACACATTTTGCAATGTGAAAACAGGCAGCATGCTAGGTGTCTTTCAGTGTCTGGGGGCTCATGAGGACCACCCATTGTTGGACAATGAGAAAGGCTAATGTTTCTTGTTCTCAGTTGAATCTTGTATTTCAAAAAGTCATTCAAAAACAAGATATTTTTATAGTTTTGATGTCAGTCTAAGAAAAGTGGGAAAAAATATCATATGGAATAGGAGTCTTCTTTTGGCCATTTACTTTCTGTGTGACCTTAGGCAAGTTACCTATGTTTTTGAATCTCCTTTCTGGAACGTTTTTATAAATTTAAAAAAAAAAAAATTAGGCCGGGCGTGGTGGCTTGCGCATGTAATTCCAGTGCTTTGGGAGGCTGAGGCAGGTGGATCGCTTGAAGTCAGGAGTTCGAGACCAGCCTGGCCAACCAGGTGAAACCCTATCTCCACTAAAAACACAAAAATTAGCTGGGTCTGGTGGCTTGCGCCTGTAATCCCAGCTACTTGGTAGGCTGAGGCAGGAGAATCACTTGAACCCGGGAGGCGGAGGGTGCAGTGAGTTGAGATCACACTACTGCACTTTAGCCTGGGCAACAGAGTGAGACTGTATCTCAATTAAAAAAAAAAATACAGACAAAGTCTCACCGTGTTGCCCAGGCTGGTCTTGAGCTCCTGGGCTCAAGTGTTTCTTTTGACTTGGCCTCCCAAAGTGTTGGGATGTGTAAGCCACTGTGCCCAGTCTTGAATTTGTTATCTATAGCTCTTAGAGGGAGGTAAGAGAAGAGAAAGGGAAGGGGGAAGAAGACAGGCAAGGAACCTCAGGGAGGTGCGAGGCTGGGGGCAACAGCCTGTGAAAATTCCTGGTGGTAGTGGTGGTGGCCAAAGGCCACTTTAAGAACTAAAGACATTATTGCTATTTCTATGATACCAATCCTTTGTGCAGCTCCCCACCTTCCACCCCCAATCCCTTTAAACCCCTTTGGTTAAAGTCTGCTGTATCCATGAAGGCTTTGTGTTTTGAGTGTGAATTCTTTGTGGAAATTGAGGAAGATATTTTCACATTGTGTTTATGTGGTATTGAACAGAAACAGCTCCTATGGAAGCGGAATTTGGAAACACAGATGACCCTGAGAATATAAGGACCCTGAGAATTTGTAGAAATCTTAGGGAAGGGCTTTTGTTTTCCAAAGGGCATGGGACAACAGATTGGGCAAATCTTATAGAGGTCTCAAGGTGCAGGGAGCCTCAACTGATAGCTGAGTGATGTGTGGTGAGAAGACCCTCTTTTCTGGGGAACCCACAAGATAATTTTCCAGGCTGACTGAGTTCATTGCCAGACATGCAAATGGGCTGCAGAGGAACTCACCTTTTCCTGTCAGTTTCAGAGTAGAAAGTACAGGCAGGGCTCTGGTATCAGCAGTGACAGTGAAAGCTCTGTGGAGGGCAAATCAATGAGAGATAATGGTGAGGACCTCATGCGGAATTCACAAGTTCAGCTCACATTTCTGACTTCCCAACCTCTTTTTTTTGTTTGTTTTTTGAGACGGAGTTTCGCTCTTGTTACCCAGGCTGGAGTGCAATGGCGCCATCTCGGCTCACCGCAACCTCTGCCTCCTGGCTTCAGGCAATTCTCCTGCCTCAGCCTCCTGAGTAGCTAGGATTACAGGCACTCACCACCATGCCCAGCTAATTTTTTGTATTTTTTTTTTTTTTAGTAGAGATGGGGTTTCACCATGTTGACCAGGATGGTCTCAGTCTCTTGACCTCGTGATCCACCTGCCTCGGCCTCCCAAAGTGCTGGGATTACAGGCATGAGCCACTGCGCCCGGCCAGACTTCCCAACCTCTTAATTCCTTTTGTGCTTACTGTCTGTATGGCACAATGAGCAGATCATTAAGTACTGGTCTGCTTTTTATTGATAAGATCCTCCACCATCTTGGTCAACTTCCAGACAACCTCTCCCATTCCCACACCCCCACCAACGTCGGCACCCTGGACTGCCTACAGGCTGGTACACATACCTCTGGTCTTTGTTCATGTCAGTCCTTCTGTCTATAATATACCTGTTCTGGTCACATCTGCTTGTAGACTCAATGATGACCTCTCTGAAGTTGTTTCTCCCTATTGTCACTAAGCCAGGCATGGCGCTCTGTTGCACTGACTTGCTAGGAGCCTCTGTCCTCATGGGAGGACCAGCTTTCCAAGGCAGGTTCTCTTGTCAACAGTGCCTGACACATGATAGGCGCTTTATGTTTGCTAAACGACCGGCACCACTTGGTCTGTTGTTATCCTAGCGATGAACCCATTATAATAGGAGTCCCTTGTTCATACATGTGTTAGATAATTAATGAAAGGACACTGAATGTCAGTCACTGTGCCTGGTGCTGAGGGGGCAGTGATTGAGCAAGACAGGCCTGGTTTTCACCCTCAGGTACTTACAGTATCTTCAGAGGGATAGATTTTAAATGGCTTATCAATTACCTAGGTAAAGAATTGAATGCCAGGCGCAGTGGCTCAAGCCTGTAATCCCAGCACTTTGGGAGGCCGAGGTGGGTGGATCACGAGGTCAAGAGATCGAGACCATCCTGGTCAACAAGGTGAAACCCCGTCTCTACTAAAAATACAAAACATTAGCTGGGCATGGTGGTGCGTGCCTGTAATCCCAGCTACTCAGGAGGCTGAGGCAGGAGAATTGCCTGACCCCAGGAGGCGGAGGTTGTGGTGAGCCGAGATCGCGCCATTGCACTCCAGCCTGGGTAACAAGAGCGAAACTCCGTCTCAAAAAAAAAGAAAAAAAAAATTGAACAGAGCTGTGATGTTCGCTGTGAAGAAGGGGAAGAAATTCTGAGGGTGGATAACTGGGAGCTTATATTTGATTTGTAAGTTCAGGGAATCTTTTCCTTCCTTCCTTCCTTCCTTCCTTCCTGCCTGCCTGCCTGCCTGCCCTCCCTCCCTCCTTCTTTCCTTTCTTCCTTCTTTCCTTCCTCTCTCTCTCTCTCTCTCTCTCTCTCTCTTTCTTTCTTGTTTCACTCTTGTTGCCCAGGCTGGAGTGCAATGGTGTGCTCTTGGGTCAAGGTGCAACCTCTGCCTCCCAGGTTCAAGCGATTTTCCTGCTCAGCCCCCCAAGTAGCTGGGACTACAGGCATGTGCCACCACGCCTGGCTAATTTTGTATTTTTAATAGAGACAGTTTCTCCATGTTGGTCAGGCTGATATTGAACTCCCAACCTCAGGTGATCTGCCTACCTTGGCCTCCCAAAGTGCTTGGATTATAGGCGTGAACCACTGCGCCCAGCCCAGTGAATGCTTTCTTGAGGAAGTGATGCTTAGCCTCAGTCATTTGTATATAGGCCTTGCTGACCTAACCTCGCCTCCCCAACCTCATTGTAACATCCCATGAGTAGGGACCTCTTCCTGTCCCTTTTGTGCCCAGCCCACCACTGTGGAGTCCCCTGCTTTCTGCATCTCCCCTACTATGTGGAGCAGAGCCCCACATATTATATGCCCACGTGGTATAAAGAAGCAGGGAGGCCAGTGTGTTATCATGGGTGTGCAAGTTTAGGAGGAGTCTGGAGACCACACCGTCAGTGGGATTGGGCCATTTGTCTTGCAGATGGTCACTCTTTGGTCTTTCATCTCTTGATGCATGGAATGTGGAGGCTTTCAGAGGTGAGATGAAAAAGTCCTTGCCCTAATCAGCCTTGGCTGGCTTCTAAGAAACTGCTGTCATGGGGAGGCTGCAGTCACTCTGTAGGCACAACAGTCCCTCCTCCAAAGCCAGTTAGGTCCGACCAGGCCCAGTGCGAGGAGAGAGAGGGAAGGGTGGTTTGACAGCATTGCCGTCATTACCAGATTCTACAGGGACACGGCTGTTCCAGCCGGCACAGCCTGCGGGTCAGACCAGCCCTTTCAGTACAGAATGGAATCTGAAAGGCTTACGTACCTCCCAACATGTGGTTCCTAAAGTAAACCTAATGACAGATCCCAGCTCGGAGGAAGGTTTGTTGTTAAAGTCTAATGCGATTCTAGGTGACCTTACCTCAGAATCCGAGTGTGTCCATTTTGTGTGACACTAGAAGCCAGTTTAATTAGACAATCATCATACATTGTTAGTGAGCCATTTCCAAAATGAATCCATATGTTAAAAAATGGTTCTCCAGTTTGAATGTAGGGAATATGAAACAAAGAGGGTGCTCAGTTTTTTCTGAGGATGTTGGGCATAAGCAGGGTGTGTGTGTGTGTGTGTGTGTGTTTGTGTGTGTGTGTGTGTGTGTGTAGAAAGGGGCTATGTGTGGGAATGTGTGTGTGTGTGCGGTGTCTGTAAGATATGTGTGTAGTGTGTATATGTGGTATATGTGTGGTGTATAGTGTATGAGTGGCATGTGGTATGTGTGGGTGGTGTGTATTTTGTGTATGGTATCTGTATGGCGTGTGGGGTTCTTCTATGATGTGTATGTGTTATGTATGTGTGTGTGGTATGAAAGCATGTATGGTGTGTATGTGTGTGTGGTGTGTGTGTTGTGTGGGTGGTATGTGTGTGTCATGATTCCATAGTGTGGTATGTGTGGTATGTGTGGTATATGGTGTGTGTGTGGTATTTGTGCGTGTGTGTGTTGTGTGTGGTATTTATGTGGTATGCATGTGTGTGTCGTGTGTGGTCTGTATATGTTGTGTGTATGTGGTGTGTGTGGTGTGCATGTAGTATGTGTGGTATGTATGTGTGTGGTATGTGTGTTGTGTGTGGTATGTGTGTTTGTGGTGTGAGTGATGTCTGTGGTGGGTGGTATGTATGTGTGTGTGGTGTGTGTGGTGTCTGTGGTGTGTGGTATGTATGTGTGTGTGGTGTGAGTGTATGGTGTATGTGGTTTGCATGTGGTGTGTGTGTGTGAGGTATGTGGTATGTTTGTGTGGTGCATGTGGTATATATGTGTGTGGTGTGTGTGGTGCATGTGGTATGTATGTGCATGTGGTGTGTGTGGTGTGTGTGGTATGTATGTGTTTGTGGTGTGTGTGTATGGTGTGTCATATGTATGTGTGTGGGGTGTGTGTGTGGTACATGTGGCATGTATCTGTGTTGTGTGAGTGTGGTTGTATGTGTGGTGTGTATGGGGTGTGTATGTGTGTGGGGTATGTATGTGTGTGAGGTGTGTGGTGTGTGTCTGTGTGGTGCATGTGGTATGTATGTGTGTGTGGGGTGTGAGTGTATGTGTGGTGTGTGGTGTATAGTGTTGGTGTGAATGTGTTTGTCTGCAAGCTCCTATAGATGGAAGGTATGTATGGTAGAGCACTGTGAGATGGTAATGAAGTGCAGCCGCTGAGTTCTCATCACATCTGGATTGTATTTTAAGTCCTCCTAGCTCAGTGTAAAACTGCATAAACCCAACATGAAAATTGTAGAGCCCAAAGCAAAACAAGCTAGGTTCTTACTGTATCTCCACTTCAGTTATGTTCGCAGATTCAGGAGATTGCCACTGTGCCTCAAAGACTGTCATGTATTGATCTTTCATGTAATACGTGGAGTTGCTGTGGCAATTTTCATCTGCTCTTCGCCAGAGGCCCACTGAGTCACCCTTCTTGTTCAAGGCTTTCATGACCACAGCATAGACGCGGTCATCCACAGGAACGAATACTGGGAGGATATGATGAAGAAACAATCAGCCATCTGCTCCCTGTGAGCAAAGCTCAATAGATGAGGGGAGTGAAATCAAAACAAAGCGTGAAACAAGAAAGTTACAAACAGAATGTACACATAGTATAGTCTCATTTCTGAAAAGCAGTTGAAAGTCTGGAAAGAGATACATCAAGATATTAACTGTGGTGATTTCTTGGTAATGAAGTTACAGATCATTTCAATTTTCTTCCTAGTGCTTTTTGGTGTTTTCCAAATTCGCTGCAGTAAAAGGCAGACAAAAGAAAATCTATACTCAGCTCTGGTTTTGCTACACATGAGGGGTGAGATTCTGGGAGTGAATCTCTTTACCTCTCTGAGCCGGGGCCCATTTCTCGGTGGGCAAGATGAGAGGACAAGACTGCTTGGTCCTCTTCTCAGGGGGTAATGTGGGGATGGAAGAGATTGATGCACGTGGGAAGGTCAGGTGGTCCAAGTAAAAGCAAAACCCTTTTTGTGGTCCCAGCAATATTGATTCTTTTCATCTCTGTTGTTAGGGTGTGGGAAGGAGTGCCTTTGAGCCACAGGTGCCCTAACTCCCTATAGGGTTACCCCAAATAACTTGTTAATTCCACTTGTTAATTTCAGCCTTCGGATAGGTAATGGAGAGGGCATTTAGCAACAATCCTGCATGATCTGCACATGTACCCCAGAACCCAAAGTACAATAAAAAAAAAAAAAAGAAGAAGAAAGTATCTGTCTCTATTTCTTCCCTTAGGAGATCTCTTCTGAGTGAATTTCTCAATGCTAAGATATTGTTCTTTCCAGGACCCTTTCAGCCACCCAGAATTTCTTTAAGGCTTCTTCTTAACAAAGCAAAGCAGATTGAACATGTAACACAAAAGGTTCAGACAGTCCTGCTTCTGAATTGTGACTCTAACACTTAGGAGCAAGTCATTTCACCTCTGAGCCTTGGTTTCCTTATTGCTCAGCATTCACTCCACAAATATTTATTGTGTGCCCGTTTTGTACCTGGCCTGGTTCTAGGTGTGGGAATAATGACATTATCTTTCATTATCCGAGATCATGATACCTAACTTGAAAGGTTCTGGGGGATAAAGAAAAGAATGCGAAGATTTTAATACATGGTGAGTATTGGATAAATTGCCATTGTTATTATATGGCTATATGCACACTACAGTTCTGTGCTGTAGTTGTTAGTTTTGCCAGTCAAGCTTGGCTGATTCAGATCCCACAGACCCTGACTTGCTCAATGAGCATCTGATATCTGTTCTAGATCTGTGTGTCTGGTACAGTAGAAGGTGAGCGGAGATGGTGTCATCCAGATAGTCATCAGTGTCAGCTGGGCATGGATGTGCTCTGTTCTGCTTTTCCCCTTCCACTCTGGTTTAAATCCTCTTTCTTCCCTCCTAGGCACCCATATTTTCTGGATTTCTGGCCTTAGGTTCTTCTCCCTTTAGGCAGCCTTGCAACATGCGGCAGCCAGGCCAGATTTCCTTATGCAACACGTCCAGCAAACACACTCTTGCCCAAACCTTCAAAGGGTCCTTCCTCCTAGAGTGTGTCAACATTTCTGCTTTTATATTTCCGCCTCTGGTCTTTGACTATAGTATTCAACACGTTTTTTAAGACTGTAAGAACTTAGCCTCAGCCTACTGTTTGTATTTCCATGCTCAGGGCAGCCAGGTTTTACCTTTTTCTGCAAATGCCTCTGCCCCTGATCCTTGCTCATGTCTGGCTGCCTGTCTGAAAGCCTGCCTTCCCTCTCATCACACATCGCATCCCCACTTCCACTCCAGCGGCTTGTTTGTGTCCCACGTCTGGACCAATTTATCCCTTTTTTCCTCTTCTTCTCTCTCTTGTTTTTCAGCAGTTGAGTTCTTAATCATATAACACTTCGTGCTATGCACTGTGGTTTCATCTGTGTTGGTATCTGGACAGCCCAGTGCTGGGCCTCTGGAGGACCCTAAGTAACTACTTATTGGTTGATTTTAAAAGTCATGCATCCCATGTTGTATAGTGCCCTTAAGGCTTAAAGTTCAGGAAGAAAAGCAGGCAAGTCACATCCCTCTTGCCCACAGAAGAAAAAAAATGGCAGATGCTTGCTCAGCACAGTCTCAATGTAAATGTCACTGTGTTAAGGGTTTCTTTCACTGACATCAAAACAGACCCAGGGAACCCGTTCTAAGATACTGCTTGAGCGGCAGTTGTCTCTTGGGACTTGCCAAGCCATTTATGCACAGTTTACCAATATTGACATAGCCCTAAAGTTTAAAAGAATTTCAAAACCAAAATAAGGAAAAGCGTTTGGCCTGGGTGGGCATTTACTCAGTCCCCGGAAGTCCTGAGTTCTGGCAATGACACCTGCAAGGCAATCGTGGAGCCTGCTGTACAACCACGGGTGTGGGATCTAGCAGCTCACATCTCCATGGGCGAGGATTTTGACCCTTAAATCATTCATATTGTGAGTCAGTTTACCACAAAGCTTTCGTAGCCATTTCTGTTTTAAAATGGAATTGGATAAAGGTTGGGGGTACATGGCATAGGTAGGCATCTAAGGAATCTTAGTTCTCCTCTTTCCGCCTTCCCTTTCCCTGCTCCACCTAACGCCTCTGTGACTGCCGTGATCCCTTTCACTCCAGTGGATCATCTTGACTTGTCTTTCTCCTGTCTTTCTACCTTCAGAAGGCTCCCATGTCTCCCCCTCGATAGCATCTTCACGTGATAGATTTCTCTCTCTCTCTCCATTTTTTTTTTTTTTTTTTTTTTTGAGATGGAGTCTTGCTCTGTCACTCAGGCTGGAGTGCAGTGACCTGGTCTCAGCTCACTGCAACCTCCACCTCTCAGGCTCAAGCCATCCTCCCACCTCAGCCTCCTGAGTAGCTGGGACCATAGGTGTACATCACCACATCTGGCTAATTTTGGTGTTTTTTTGTAAAGATTAGGTTTTGCCATGTTACCAGGGCTAGTCTTAAACTCTTGAGCTCAGTCAATCCACCTGCCTTGACCTTCCAAACTGCCGACATTACAGGTATGAGCCACCATGCTCAGCAATAGATTTCTCTTTCTTCCATTGCATTAGCAAAATCTTCCACCTGGAGAGGTATTATTTTAAATGCCAGAGGCTTGTGATCTCTTTTGCAGTTGTGCCTCTGACCCCTCAGGTTCTCGCCCAGGTTGCACGTATGTCCACCTGTGCTCATTTTGAATTACAAGATTATCCTCTCTGCCCTGTCAGGACAATATCCACTGCCTGAGGGAGTGGTTCATAGCTGGCCCCATCACAACTGAAGCACTTAGTGTCAGTCCTCATTTAAAGTAAGACAAAAGATAAGCCAGGATGAGTGCATGAAGGCATGCCATGATTGTTCACCTGCTGAAGTCTGAGACCTATAGACCATGAGTGTGGAGATCACGCTGGTCTTTGCAAAATTTGGTCAGACTTTTAAGAAAGGCAGGATAGGCCGGGTGCGGTGGCTCAAGCCTGTAATACCAGCACTTTGGGAGGCCGAGACGGGTGGATCATGAGGTCGAGAGATCGAGACCATCTTGGTCAACATGGTGAAACCCCATTTCTACTAAAAATACAAAAAACTAGCTGGGCATGGTGGCGCGTGCCTGTAATCCCAGCTACTCAGGAAGCTGAGGGAGGAGAATTGCCTGAACCCAGGAGGCGGAGCTTGCGGTGAGCCGAGATCGCGCCATTGCACTCCAGCCTGGGTAACAAGAGCGAAACTCCGTCTCAAAAAAAAAAAAAAAAGAAAGGCAGGATAACACAGTACATAAGAAGACAGATTCCGAAGCTGGAGAGCCTGGCTCGACAAAAAGCTGTATGAGTTTTGGCTGTGCCATTTATATTCAGATCTTAGCTATGTTACTTATTAGTGCGCAGTGTTAACTTCTCCGTGACTCAGTTCTTGTCTGTAAAATGATAACAGTATTTACTCCTAAAACTTGCCCAGCACATCATAAGAAGTGTTAGCTTTCATTACTAGAAGGAAGAGGTATATAGTGGTTAAAGGGAGGGTCTCTGAAGCTGGAATTCTGGCTCATATCTTAGCTTCCCCATTTAAGTAGCTCTGGGACCTGGGTAAGAGTCACTTAGCATTTCTGTCTCTCTTTCTCATCTGCAACATGGGAATGATAATGATGTCTCCCTAATAGGTCACTAGTACATGTGAACACCATATGAAGTGTTACTATTATGAAATGAATTAGAAAGCATATTCCTTGACTTGTAGATTTGGCTGATTCAAAAAGGGATGTGTTAAAAATACCGGGCCGGGCACGGTGGCTCACGCCTGTAATCCCAGTACTTTGGGAGGCCGAGGCGGGTGGATCATGAGGTCAAGAGATCGAGGCCATCCTGGTCAACATGGTGAAAACCCGTCTCTACTAAAAATACAAAAAACTAGCTGGGCATGGTGGTGCGTGCCTGTAATCCCAGCTACTCAGGAGGCTGAGGCAGGAGAATTGCCTGAACCCAGGAGGCGGAGGTTGCGGTGAGTCGAGATCGCGCCATTGCACTCCAGCCTGGGTAACAAGAGCGAAACTCCATCTCAAAAAAAAAAAAACCAAAACAAAAGAAAACTACTGGACACCTCTAAGAAAAGCAAAAGACTAAGATTCAAAAGCAAGTTCTGCTACTTCCTACTGGGGAGACTCTGGGCATGTCATGTAATTTCCCTTGGCCTCAGGCTTCTCATACATAAAGTGGGTTAGTAATACTTTCCCCATGTAGTTCATTAGATATTTTTCACCCACAGACTAAATTCAGTATACAATCATCCCCAGTGGCATCATTTTGTCAAATGGATATGAAAAGATTACACACTGGAGGTTGGGCGCTGTGACTCACACCTGTAATTCCAACACTTTGGGTGGCCGAGGTGGGTGGATTGCTTGAAGCCAGGAGTTTGAGGCCAGCCTGGCCCACATGGAGAAGTCCCATCTCTACTAAAAATACAATCAGCCAAGGCTGGTGGTGTGCACCTGTAATCCCAGCTACTTGGGAGGCTGAGGTATGAGAATTGCTTGAACCCAGGAGGCGGAGGTTGCAGTGAGCTGAGATTGTACTATTACACTACAGCCTGGGTGATGAAGTGAGACTCTGTCTCCAGAAAAACAAAAACCAAAACAAAAAGAGAAAAGATTACACATGGGAATGCAACGATTATCCCTTAAAATGATTAAAATGCCCATTTTACTTAAGTCAGAGAATTTGCTCCAAGTGTGCTCTTGCTGGGGGCTCAGTGAATCTAGGGGTTGGGGCTTTCTCACTCCTGTGGCTTGAGTTCACAAAGGACATGCAGAAGTAGTACTCCCGCTGGGCGTGGTGGCTCACGCCTGTAATCCCAGTACTTTGGGAGGCCGAGGTAGGTGGATCACGAGGTCAAGAGATCGAGACCATCCTGGTCAACATAGTGAAACCCCGTCTCTACTAAACATAGAAAAAATTAGCTGGGCATGGTGGCGCCTGCCTGTAATCCCAGCTACTCAGGAGGCTGAGGCAGGAGAATTGTCTGAACCCAGGAGGCGGAGGTTGTGGTGAGCTGAGATTGCACGATTGTACTCCAGCCTGGACAAGAGCGAAACTCGGTCTCAAAAAAAAAAAAAAAAAAAAAAAAAAGAAGTAGTACTCCCAACCCACTCTCTTAATTCTCGTTCTTTCTCTTCCTTCCCTTGCTTCTCATTTGGTTCAGAAGACACATGTTTTGTATAACTGAGAGTAGCAACAGAGGAGTATGTTCTGAATCTAGTTAATTTCCCCCAGAGCAAAGGACAGCAGAGAGCATGGCTTCTACTCACCAGAATAGACTGTGTTGCTTTCGTAGATATACGAACTGGCCTTGATGCTTAGGGTGACGGCATAGTACTCATTAAAGCTGAAGCAGTTGTTACTGAACCTTATGAAGATGGCGGAAGAAAGCTGGAGACTGAGGCACAGAAACAGCCCCAGTGGCTGCAACAGTATGGCATGGAGGACTGCCATGGTCTTGATTTGTTTAGAAAGTGCTCGGCCTGGAATTGGGCAAAACTGACAACTCACCTCTTGTTTATATGCCACAGCTCCTAGATGGAGTCACAAATGCAAATCTTCTCCCTGCCCCTTCTGAGTATACATCGGCTTCTGGAATTTGGCCCAAAACATCACCAGGACTGAATCATCAGTCGCCATTACCTGTCACTGATGATTTTGCAAATTGTAGTTTTGTTCAAGGAGGGGAATGTCCTAAATATGGTTTTCTTTTACTCAGGTCAGTATCTGCTATTTGAAGAAAGCCACCGAGAAGACGTAAATACCAGCAAGTGAAATTCAGAGTTGTGTAATCATCACATACCTGGCTTGTTCAGAAGCTCCACTCTTCTCACTGCAGGAAACTCAGGGACAAAAACCTTCTTTTCCTGGATTACACACGCTTTTCCACCCATGGCCAATATGGAGAAGCCACAAATTTACTAAAAATACAAAATGTCAGCCAGGCATGGAGGTGCAGACCTGTAATCCCAGTTACTTGGGAGGCTGAGGTACGAGAATGGCTTGAACCCAGGAGGCGGAGATTGCAGTGAGCCGAGATCGCGCCATTACACTCCAGTCTGGGTGATGAAGTGATTCTGTCTCCAGAAAAACAAAAACAAAAAGAGAAAAGATTACACATTGGAATGCAATGATTAATCAAACAAGTCTCTAATCCCCAATTCATTTAGTGACAAGCATAGAACGAGAAAGACTGTGCTTCTGGACTTATATCTGCTTATGTATTATTTATTTATTTGGAAAGAAACAGCTTAGGTCTATCTTGTTCCTGACACATTCTTCCATAACACCATAGCACAAAAACATAAGAAAATATGCTTTTTCACATCTCCCTTCTGAATTTTACGACTTACTCACTGAAGAAGAGGAAAGAAATATGCCACTTTGTGAGTAGAAACAAAAAAATGTAGAATAGAATCAAGATAATACTGACTATGTGTTCCTTCAAGAGAAACATGTGCAGAATGGTGACATAAATACCTCTGAAAAATCAACTCCTTCATTAAAACAATGAGAACACTAGCAAAAAAATGGTCAAAATACGTTTTTCAGAATTTTTGAAGTTAACCAAATGCTTGCAACAGTCTGGGGACATTTATTTAAGAAAAATTGTTGAATATCATTAAGAACCATGAGCATTACGGCATTTTAAGTAGCTCTAGTCCCCGCGTAGTTCGTTAGGTATTTTTCACCCACAGACTAAATGCAGTATACAATCATCCCCGGTGGCATCATTTTGTCAAATGGATATGAAAAGATTACACACTGGAGATTGGGCACTGTGACTCACACCTGTAATTCCAACACTTTGGGTGGCCGAGGTGGGTGGATCACTTGAAGCCAGGAGTTTGAGGCCAGCCTGGCCCACATGGAGAAGTCCCATCTCTACTAAAAATACAAACAATCAGCCAAGGCTGGTGGTGCGCACCTGTAATCCCAGCTACTTGGGAGGCTGAGGTATGAGAATTGCTTGAACCCAGGAGGCGGAGGTTGCAGTGAGCTGAGATTGTACTATTACACTCCAGCCTGGGTAACGAAGTGAGACTCTGTCTCCAGAAAAACAAAAACCAAAACAAAAAGAGAAAAGATTACACACTGGGATGCAGCCCACTCTCTTAATTTGCTCCCTCTCACCTCCATGAGGGCCTTTGCAACTGTGGTAACTGTGAAGATCAGCAAACTAGCAGCCAATTGAAGGAAACAGAACAGTTGGAGCTTTCCCAAATCATCAGTTAACTACTCTGGTTAATTTTTATAGTTTTTGTAGAGCCAGGGTCTTGCTATGTTGTCTGGGTTGTTCTTGAACTCCTGGGCTCAAGCACTTCTCTTGCCTCAGCCTCCCAAGTGCTGGGATTAGAGGCATAAGCCACTTTGCCTGACTTCATGTTTTTTAAATGTTCAGTTTTCAACAAAAATTATAAGATATACAAATAAATAAGAAAATATGGCTTATACAGACAAAAAATCCCAGGTAAACAGAAACTGTCCCTGAGGAAGCTCACATGCTGAACTTAACTGGACATAAACATTAACTCAGCTTTATAAATATGTTCAAAGAACTAGGAGAAATCATGTTTAAAGAATTAAAGGAAAGTATGAGATTGATGTCTCACCAAATAAATAATAGTAATAAAGAGATAAAAATGATAAAAAGGACCAAATAGAAATTCTGCAATGGAAAAGTACAATAACTGCAATTTTAAAAAGTCACTAAAGAACTCAACAGCACATTTGAACTGGCAGAAGAAAGTATTGGTAAACTTGAAGATAGGTCAATTGAATACATTTAACAAAATAAGTGCAAGACTTGTATACTGAAAACTATAACAAGGCACTCAGGATAGTCAAAATGATCTTGAAAAACAAAACACAACAAAGTTTGAGGACTCACACTTTCCAATTTTAAAATTTACTGTGTAGCTACAGTAATCAAGATAGTGTAGTGTGGTACTGTCATAAGGATAGACATATAAATCAATGAAATAGAATTGAGATCTCAGAAACACACCCACACATTTATTATTAACTGGGTTTTGACAAGGGTAACAAGACAACTCAATGGGGAAATAAATGGTGTTGGGACGACGGAATAGCCACATGGAAAAGAATAAAGTTGGAGCCCCACTCACACCATATACAAAATTAACTTGAATCAAGGGTCTAAATGTAAAACTATAAAGCTTTTAGAAAAAAACATAGGTGTAAATATTTATAACCTTGGTTTAGGCAACGGTTTATTGGACTTGGTGCTTGAGGCAAAAATAAGTAAAGAAAAAATAGATAAATTGGACTTCAAAACTAAAAGCTTTTGTTCTTTGAAGGCCACTATAAAGAAAATGAAAAGGGCTAGGTGTGGTGGCTCATGCCTGAAATCCCAGCACTTTGGGAGGCTGAGGCAGGTGGATCACCTGAGGTCAGGAGTTTGAGACCAGCCTGGTCAACATGGTGAAACCTCAGCTCTACTAAAAATACAGAAATTAGCCAGGTGTGGTGTTGTGTGCCTGTAATCCCAGCTACTTGGGAGACTGAGGCAGGAGAATCACTTGAACCCGGACCCGGGAGGCAGAGGTTTCGGTGAGCCGAGATTGTGCCATTGCCCTCCACAGCCTGGGGACAGAGACTCTGTCTCAAAAAAAAAAAAAAAAAAAAAAAAAAAAAAAAAAGAAAAAAAAAAAAAGAAATACAACTCAACAACAAAAAGATAAATATCTCAATTTAAAAATGGGCAAAGATTTGAATACTTTCTCCAAAGAAATGTACGAATGGCCAATTGGCATGTGAAGAGATGCTCAACATTATTAGTTATTAGGAAAATGCCAATCAAAGTTTGAATAAAAAAACCTCTTTATAGCTAAAATTACTACTATCAAAATGACAGATAATAACAATAGTTGGCATGGATGTGGAGAAGTTGAACCTTATGCATTTCTGGTGAAAATATAAAATGATGTGGCCACTTTGGAAAACAGTTTGGCATTTCTTCAGAAAGCTAAACACAGAGTTACTACTAATGCATGTAACATGCCTGCCACAGAGTCAATCCTCCAAAAGAGGAAGGTTTTATCGCCAATGGCAAGTATCTGTGCTAACTCGAGGGACCAGAGCGACCAGGGAGCTGGGGGCAGCTGGAGAAGTTTTACTCTCATTTGTTTACCCACATGTTAATTTATGAGCTAATTGGGTTGTGCCTCTGGCTCTTTGGTTCAGCATTGTGGGTGTTGCGATTTTGAATATCCCAAAGTGAGAGTCCCTGTGCTTTAGGGATAGCCCGAGGTCAGCTTTTGAGCTGATGCACCATTTTTCTCATTCCCAGAGGCCTCACAAATTCTCAGAGAGAGGAAACACACTATTATGCATCACATTAAGAATTTTTGGCCGGGCGTGGTGGCTCAAGCCTGTAATCCCAGCACTTTGGGAGGTCAAGGCGGGTGGATCACGAGGTCAAGAGATCGAGACCATCCTGGTCAACATGGTGAAACCCCGTCTCTACTAAAAACACAAAAAAATTAGCTGGGCATGGTGGCACGTGCCTGTAATCCCAGCTACTCAGGAGGCTGAGGCAGGAGAATTGCCTGAACCCAGGAGGCGGAGGTTGCGGTGAGCCAAGATCGCGCCATTGCACTCCAGCCTGGGTAACAAGAGCGAAACTCCGTCTCAAAAAAAAAAAAAAAAAAAAAAGAATTTTCAAGCAAGACTGGCCCCAAGAGATAATTTTAATCTAACTCCCTTATTTATATCTGAGAAAACTGAGCACAGAAAAATTAAACAACTTGCTCCAGGCTTAAGAACCACTTAGTGGCAAGTCAGGGCCAGATCCTGGCCTCCTTTCCCTGGCTGGGGATTTTCTCCACTGGGCAGCTCTAGTATCTAGTGAATACATGCATGCTTTGCTTAGCATTTCAGATTCAGATGTATTTCAGATACAGCACATTTTAATTTCAATATGCCGTCTGTATATTTTGTGGTACGTGTGGGACACTTGCCTCATCTACTTACATTTGCTAGCACTTGGAGAGAAGTTTATCACAAAAATAGTTAATTGATCATATTTGTGTCTTTGTTTAATCCAAAATTGCATGTCAAGAGCACAGCTGGATCTGCATTGTGCTTTGCTTGTGTTACCTCGTTGGCTGGCCATGCTCACCCGGCTGGGGTTGGGCGGTTGAGCTGCTCCAGGTCACATGGCCTTCTGGGATAGTAAGGCCTGCTTTATCGCAACTGTTGCCAAACTCTAGGCTAGCAACTATCTTGATAAACTGTTTACCTGTTTTCGTGGAATGACAGAGACAAGGGCAAAATTATGACATTTTTAAGAAGAAAGACACATTTGTTCAGTTTAAAGGCCTACCTTTTATTTTTACGTTATAGCTTTCTGATGTTTTGTTGTTCTTTCTTTCATGAAATTATGGCCATTGTAGATTATAGATGGTAGATTTTTCCCTCCTTCACCTATTTATTTTTTAAATGTCCTTATTTAACAAAATGAAAACTTGGCACCTATCTAGGTGCCTGAAATTCAAAGTTTTGAAACTAGATATATAAAAAGATTTACTTTGCATCATAACTTCTAGAAATGCCTTATATCACTGTGGCAAAAAGCAGGAATTTCTGGCATTTAAGTAGGAATAGGTGTTCAAGAAAGGTGTTCACGGACCCCTTTCTTACTGAGTGGGAGATGAGATCTTTTAAGCTCCTTTCCCCAACATTAGAATCAGTCATCCCT